AAGCACTTTTTCATCAAAAAAAGATGGCGGCGCCCAGCTGATGCCGGTACCGGGCCGCGGCATAAAAAAGGTTGGGGATCACTGCCTTAAACCACTCTTCATCCAGGTGCAGGAATAACATGACCTTGACTGTAAAGAAGAATGCTATCGTGTCTAACTACAAACACTCTACAAAATCCCCCCCCCTCTCAATTTCCCAGGCACAGGAATGTGGCAGGATGGAAGCTTCTGGTGCTAATATGGTTTGCAAAACTGACACCATCCTTCCAAGCAGCCTCCATGTTTCCAGTGTCTTTCTCCCCACTTGGAACTGAACCCAGATTGGCATTCATTTCTACAGTAACATCATCGATGCTAGTGCATCGGTCTAGCATTGATGATGTTATTTAGTTTGGGCAATAAAATGTCTGCAAAAAAAAACAACACAGCAAACTCAAAGAGCACCCAGGACCCCTCATTTGTGTATGTGTGTTTAATTTTCAATGAGAAAGAGAGAGGGAGGGAAAATAACCCTTATTTTGAAAGATGATCATTATGTTCTAAACTTGCTTGCAAGAAATCCCCTGGGGCCATTTTCCAGAGGTGAAAGAAAGAGATCTATTTGTTCTTTAAAGAGGCTACAGATGCATTTCAACAGAGCCTCTCTCAGGGGAAGTGGGTTTAGGAGGCTTTTATGGGCTGTTGAGTGTATTACCAGCAAATAATCCTTGTATGTAAATAACAGCAGCTTGTGCCAATAAAAGGGGGGGGGGAGAGAGGTTTCCTGGGTGACCAAGGACAGTTTGTCTCTTCTTGTAATAAAAACTGAAAGTTGTCATGAGATATTTCTTTTCTTTTCCTTTATCCTAGTCCTCCTTCTCTCTTTTTTCTTTTTTACTTTTTGTCTGATATGTGTCATATAATAATATATGTGGGTATCTGCATAATTTTGTATGTATTTATTTATTCTGTCATAGTTATGTTGTTGGAGGCAAATGAGGTCCCGACAGAAGAAAAACATAAGGGCTTCAAAATCTAAGGAACTAGTTTGGACAAAACTCAGCAGCACTTTTTTGTGTGGCTGTTAATAAAAATAGGATCCCCAACATGATTGCCAATGTCTGATGATGGATATGGAAGGAGGAGGAGGAGGAGGAGGAGGAGGAGGAGGAGGGGGAGGAGGAGGAGGAGGAGGAGGAGGAGGAGGAGGAAGAGGAGGAGGAGGAAGAGAAGAAGAAGAAGAAGAAGAAGAAGAAGAAGAAGAAGAAGGAGGAGGAGGAGGAGGAGGAGGAGGAGGAGAAGGAGGAGGAGGAGGAGAGGAGGAAGAAGAGAAGAAGAAGAAGTAGAAGAAGAAGAAGACCATTTGAGAGCTGTATGCATTGAAATTTCATTTTAATGTATGCCAATTAGTGTACATTAAAAGTGACAATAAAGTTCTGTTCTGTTCTGTTCCATTTCACTCCACTCCACTGTACTGTACTGTACTCTATACTCCATCCTATTCTATTATTCTTTTATTGTTATTTCTCTATTGTTTTTTCTTTCTCCAAATTTAGATTGCATTCGTTTTTATTATTCTAATCAAAATCCTTAATTTAAAAAATATATATGCAAACCAAATAAAGATAGAGTGCATTATCACTCCCAGAAGTCTCTCAAACAGTGTTTGGATCAGAGACTGGAAAAATGGACACCCAACTCAGTTTGTGAGCATACAAGCACGCACAGGAGAGAAAGGGGAGGGTAAATGATGAAATGTACATTGTGTTATCGCATACAAACTCCTCCCCTTAGGTTCTTGCTGGCAAGAGCACAAAGCAAATAGGAGGTTGTGTCACAAGATCAATCTAGTTCCTCAAAGCACCTGAAGGTAGAACAGGAAGCAATGGATGGAAACTGATCAAGGCAAGATCCAATTAATCAAGGCAAAATCTAACCTACAAATAAGGAGAAATTTCCTGACTGTGAGAACAATTAATCAGTGGAACGACTTGCCTTCAGAAGTTGTGAATGCTCCCACACTGGAGGTTTTTAAGAAGAAATGGTATTGGGCAGAAGTGGCTTTTTGGGCTCCTGTGCCAAAAATTGCATGCGCACTAGCGCACACGCACTCGTGTGCCAGCATCCAGAATGCAATGCGCGCCCCCTCCCGACGCCCCCTGTGCATGCACGCGCAATCCCCCCACATCACCCCCTTACTTGCACTGCGTCCTACAGCTGATTTTGCGGCTGGTTTGAGGCCTTTTTCGGCCTCCCAGAGGCTTGGAAAAAATATCTGCAAGGCTTTTCAGGCTGAATTATAGGGCTGTTTCGTCACTTCCTGTAATACCAGAAGTAATGAAATGGGCTTATAATTCGTCCTGAAAAGCCTTGAAGAGGCTTTTTCCAAGCCTCTGGGAGGCCGAAAAAGGCCTCAAACCAACTGAAAAATACCAGCTGTGAGGCATGCGCATGCGCAGTGAGTTAAGTTTGCCTGCGGCTCGCGTGCCAGCACAAATGGCTCTGCGTGCCACTTGTGACACGCGTGCCATAGGTTCGCCATCATGGGCATAGGGATTCCTGCCTAAGCAGTGGGTTGGACTAGAAGACCTCCCAAGATCCCTTCCAACCCTGTTGTTCTGTTTTCATAATTTGCTTCATCCTTTGGGAAACATTGGCAGCGCAGAGATTTATGGTAGGGTTTGGCTATGAGTAAGATAGATATGCTCCTGGAAAGATAATGATTTGAAAATTTCTTCTCCCTCTAAGACAGGAGTGAAAATATGTAAGCCATTTTGCCATCCCAATTTCTCTTTTTCGACATGCTCTACATTCCCTCCGAATTGCCAAACATGGGTGGGATGTTTTCTTGTCCTTTTGAGGTAGGGAAGTCATGAGTACATCACAAAGCCCTACAATTCCAGATAATCCTCAACTTACCACCAAGCAGAATTTCCATTGCTGAGGTGGCAGTTAATTGAGTCACACCCAATTTTATGACTTTTGTCATGGTTGTTAAACAAATCACTCCCGTTCTTAAGTGAGGCACGCAGTCATTAAGCAAGCCTAGATATAGCCTCTCAGGTTATCAATATGCTTCTTTCTGGATCTTACTGGCTGAGTACTTACACATTCTGTTGCCGTAATGGTTAAAGAGCTGGAAATGAGCGACTGCCCTTGGTTCAAACTGACAAACACGTCCATTGTTCTGGAGAGACAAAAAAAGAGGGAGGATGGAAACACAGCGTTTAACAGTACGCTCACAGAGTGGACTGACCGGATATAATTAAAATAGAGAATGTGTCAATGGAGCCAAATCTTTTTTTTTTTAACAGACTATATAACTTTATTTGTTTATTTTGATTAGGCTAAGAGAAATTTGTACACTGAAATTACAAAAAGACCTCAGGTATGCACGTGAACCTTATTAGAGATTGTTCTACATAGCATTCTCTTTTTTTCCCATAGGAAAAAAACTCAATAGTTTTTTCTGTACATACCTGTACAGCCTAAACCATAGATAGCAACCTAGGATCATGTCAAATTTACATGGTGCAAAATCAAACATAAGAATAGTGGTACAACAACAACAAAAAATGTAACAAGTATATTTCGTTGTAAGACGAATTCAGATAGTTTTGGTCCTTCCATCCCAAACCATATTGATTACTACATAGATCATAACAATCAAATGGCTAGGAAGTGATCTATTACTTTTCTAAAATGAATCCGAAGTAAACTCTTAAAAGATAATGTTAAGCCATATTATTAGAAGGCAGGAAATTCAAAATCAGCCATCAAGTCCCTAAGAAAAGGCCTCATTACATGAAAAGGACCTTGCTAAAACAAACACAAAAAAACAACCCCCCAAAACAAAAGGCCTGACCCATTTTTTTTTGGAGGGGGGGAGGGAATTTCAAGCCAAATCTTGATGTTAACTGGTTTGCTAAACAGGTCAAAGCAAGAAACTCAAAATCAAACAATAGATGGTCCTTGACTTAAGATCACAATGGAGCTCAAAATTTCCATTGCTAAGTATGACATTTGTTAAGTGAATTTTGTCCCATTTTGCAACCTCACAGTTAAGTGAATCACTGCTGTTGTTAAATGAGTCACACGGTTGTTAAGTGAATCTGGCTTCCCCATTGACTTTGCTTGGAAGGTCACAAAAGGGGATCACGTGACCCCAGGACATTGCAACCGTCATAAATGTGAGTCAATTGCTGAATTTTGGTTACACAACCATAGGGATGCTGCAATGGTCGTAAGTGTGAAAAACGGTCGTAAGTCACTTTTTTATTGCTGTTATGACTTTAAATGGTCCCTAAACAAATGGTTGTAAGTCTAGGATTACCTGTTTTTTTTTTTTTTGGGGGGGGGGGGGTTGTAATGGATGGCTTGAACTATCATTTATATATGGAGAATAAAGCTACCAACCCTTATACAATCAGTAGAGATGGAAAAAAAATGCTCCTTGATTGTACCACCTCCAATAAAAGATTTATCAAATTGAACTCAAGCCAGAACTCTATTTATTGGGGATAATCAAAAAATCAATATCCGAAAAAGATAAAATACATAATATTACGTATTTTAACAGCGGCTAGAATAGCCTATGCACAAATGTGGAAAGGGCCCAAGGTTCCAACAATAGAATTAGTCTTACAAAAAATAGCAGATTGCGCAGAAATGGATATGCTCACACTAAAAATGAAGGAAAAAGAAGAATCTGATTATTACTCAATTTGGCATAGATGGTACAAATGGTTAGAAAATAGAGATAAGGATTGAAAAAGGAAGATTACATAGGAGAATTCCTAAGAGAGTGATGCATAGATATGTAAAGTAGATAAAGTTAGATATTATTAACAAATATAAGTAAAGATAACAATTATTGATGGTATGTATAAATAGATGATAGATATATAAGACAATATTATATGTCGATGCAAAATGTTGTTGAAAACGTAATTATGATTTGTACTGGTGGAAAACAATAAAAATCATTATTTTTTTTAAAAAAAAGATTTATCCTTGAAGTCTTCCACAGATCTGTGCTCCAAGCATCCTAAAGTTAGTAAGGTCTGAGCTGACTTGGTGCCTAATCAAGAACCAACGATGGCTAGAGAGCTATTTCTAGAAGACCTTGATGCTGAGATCCACAAAACCATAGAGATGGGGGTAGACTTTAGGAGAAACCCTCCCACACTACCACCTCTTACAATACTAGACAGTAGAGACCTTCAAATTTCCAGGTTCTATCATATCTCAAGACCTAAAATGGACACCTAACATCAAAAACGTCATCAAAAAAGCACAACGAAGAATGTTCTTTCTGCGCCAACTCAGAAAGCTCAAACTGCCCAAGGAGCTGCTGATACAGTTCTACACAGGAATGATTGAGTCTATCATCTGCATCTCTATATCTGTCTGGTTTGATTCTGCAACCCAACAGGACAGACACAGATTTCAGAGGATAATTAGGACTGCAGAAAAAAAACAATTAGTACCAACCTGCCTTCAGTCGAGGACCTGTATACTGCACGAGTCAAAAAAAGGGCTGTGAAAATATCCACAGACCCCCTCGCATCCTGGACATAAAATATTTCAACTCCTACCCTCAAAACGATGCTATAGAGCACTGCACACCAACTAGACACAAGGACAGTTTTTTCCCAAATGCCAGCACTCTGCTAAACAAATAATTCCCTCAACACTGTCCAACGTCTGCATTACTATTACTATTAATCTTCTCATTGTTCCTATCACCCATCTCCTCCCACTTATGACTGTATGACTATAACTTTCTTGCTTGTATCCTTACAATTGATCTTGATTGCTTCATACTATGATTCGATTGCTTATTTGTACCTTATGACCATATTAAGTGTTATACCTGATGATTCTTGACGAATGTATCTTTTCTTTCTATGTACACTAAGAGCATATGCACCAAAGACAAATTCCTTGTGTGTCCAATCACACTTGGCCAATAAAGAATTCTATTCTATGCGATCTTCATTTCTGCAGCAAACCCTTGACAAGTTAAGGCCACTTTATAATGCCTTGGTAAGACCACACTTGGAACACTGCATCCAGTTTTGGATGCCACGATATAAAAAAGATGTTGAGATTCTAGAAAGAGTGCAGAGAAGAGTAACAAAGATGATGAGGGGACTGGAGGCTAAAACATAGGAGGAACGGTTGCAGGAGTTGAGTACGTCTAGTTTAATTAAGAGAAAGACTAAGGGGTATCGTGATAGCAGTATCAATATTTGAGGAGCTGCTAGAAAGAAAAGAGGGCCAACCTATTCTCTAAAGCACCTGAAGGCAGGACAAGCAACTATCGATGGAAACTAGTCAAGGAGCGAAGCAATCTAGAACTAAGGAGGAATTTCCTGTTCATTACAATTGATCAGTGGAACGACTTCCCTCTAGATGTTGTAGGGACTCCCACAACTTCAGTCCCAAAGTGCTTTTTTCGAGAGGCAATTGGACATTGTGGAAGTCGAAAAAAGCCCCTTTGGCACAACCATGACCCTGGATGATGGAGAATCTCTATAGACACCCATCACTTTAGGTTTTTAGGTGCTTTGGAGAATAGCTTGACTCCCTCTTCTTTGTGGCAGCCCCGCAAATATCCGAACACTTTTATCCTGTCACCCCTTGTCCTTCTTTTCACTGAAGTAAACATACCCAGTTCCTGCAACTGTTCTTCGTATGTTTTAGCCATGGGGTGCGATTCAACTGGTATAACAACCAGCTCGGCGCCAAATGCACACTCCACGCGCATGCCCCACATTTAAAAAAGCTAATACTTACCTTCAACTGCAGCTGAAGAAAACAGCTGAGGTGCGGCAAATTGCCCTGCCGCGCAAATCAGCTGTGCTTTAACAAAAAGACATAAAGCACAGGAAAGAGCAGAGGCCGGCGGGCGGGCCCACATGCTTGTTGGAGCGAACCGGTTAGGAGCCAGTTGATTGTCGAAGCAAGGGATCAACCAGAACCAGTCCGAACCGGGAGAATCCCACCCCCTGGTTTTAGCCTCCAGTCCCCTCATCAATTTTGTTGCTCTTCTCTGCGCTCTTTCTAGAGCAGGGGTCTCCAAACTTGGCAACTTTAAGACCTGTTTACTTCAACTCCCAGAATTCTCCAGTCAGCCGTGTCTGTTTCTTTTTCTTTTTTTCTTAACCTCCCAAAATGGAGAAGTTGCAGAGGAATGGATTACAAGAAAGTATGCTGGCTGGAGAATTCTGGGAGTTGAAGTCCACAAGTCTCAAAGTTGCCAAGTTTGGAGACCTCTGTTCTAGAGTCTTACCATCTTTTTTACATCATGGTGACCAAAACTGGATGCAGTATTCTAAGGGTGGCTCTTACCCCAAGGCATTATAAAGTGACTTGAGTGGATATAGATAGGTAGATATTCTTGGTCCCCATTCAAGACAGAGTATCAATGGTTTGCAGTGGGTCTGGGAACAGACTGGTAGGCTATGTTACAGTTAAGAAACATTGAATGGAAGAAAGGCAATACGAGGGACTCGTACATTGGCCTGTGGCCCAATGAGACTTAAAACCCTGGACTCAGCTCAACACCACTGTTCATCCCAGAAGCATAAAAGTAATTTTTAAAAAATGGCAATCTGAAAAAAAAGAAAGTTTTGAGTAGTCAATCCAACTGTGAGTTCTTGAGATGTGAAGAATTACATGGATTCATTCACTCACGCCCATAAAAATGTCAGGACTGGCAATAAACTCACTAATTACCACTCCGGCAACACAGATATAGCATAAAGGCCACTAATTAGGACTTGGTGGGGCTTTCTAGGAAGAGAAATTAGGCAGTAGAGAAACGTAAATAGGAAAGCGGTTTCTTATTTCTTCAAATAACTCTGGAGGAACCCAGACACATGGTAAGGATTAGAGATCAGCTGCTGCTAGCCAGAATCCGAACAACCTCAGCAGGTTTCCTTATATGCTTATCTTTAAGCTGGAAGAGTCAGAGTTTTATAGATGTTTGTGGATTGTGGATTTACGATCTCAGCAGCATTTTATCTATTAAAGCTAAACCACAGCCTTTCTTGAACCACTTTCATCAGCTATATGTCAATTTGTCTCAAGTATCCTTTATGTCAGCGTTTCTCAACCTTGGCAGCTTGAAGTTAGCAATAGCCATAGCACTTAGACTTATATACCACTGCACAGTGCTTT